GGTGCTGGGTCACTTGGAGGAGGGGATGAGATTATTTGGGGGTGACACCGTGACCAGGACCCCCTGTAAGTTATCAAATATATTTTTTCCCCTCTTTTTGGAAATTTCATTTGAGGGAGGGTGGGTGCTGGGGCCCTTCTCTGTCACCATCCAGGAGGCTGTGGGTGGGACCCTGGTCCCTTGAGGGACCCCTGACCCCACTGAAACCTCATGGGGGGAAAAAAGCAGCAGCAGAGCCGGGGGTGACGCTGTCCCCACTGTCCCCTCAGCTCAGAGAGCACCCGCTCGTACCGGCGCATCAGCAGCGTGGTGGGCAAAGCGGGGTCTGCCGTGTCCCCCCAGAGCCCCGAGGACCCCGCTCCCAGCAAGGTGCCCCCTGTGCCCATGCCCAGGAGGTTTGCTCCGGTAGGTGCCACAATTTGGGATGGGGGACACCCTCTGCATCCCCAACCATCCCCATTCCCTTTATCCAGGGGTAGCAGATGGAGGGCTCAGGGGTGTCACATCCCTGTGTCCCCCCTTGGGATGACCTTGATGGGGGGGATCTGTCACCCCCTCACCCCCCTCCTTCGCAGGCCAAGGGGAGGCGGAAGCGGGTGAAGGCGGTGGCCGACTGCAAGGGGGACAAAGCGCGGGAGCTGACCTTCTCCAAGGGGGAGGTGATCGTGGTGACGCGGGAGGAGGACGAGCAGAGCTGGGTGAGTGGTGGTGGGCACGGATGGGTGCTGGGGTCCCCCCCAGTTCCCTTCATGGGGGGCACGGAGGGGTGCTCCATGCCCCATCTGTACATGGAGGAGGGCTGGGGACACTCATGGCACCACGGCTTTGCCTCCTTAAATCCCTCTGGGAATTGGGACATCAGCCCCAACGCTTCTCCCCTGCCTGAGATGGGACCCCTGATCCCCCCTCTCTGCACCCCCAGGTCGGCTTCATCGAGGGCGATGGCTCCCGCACCGGTGTCTTCCCCGCCAGCTTCGTCCACCTCTTGCAAGACTGACGGGGCGGCAGTGGCCCCTTTTGTCCCTGTCCCCTCAACCGGGACCCCAGGCATCTCCCCAAGGCCCGGCTGGACACTGCCCTTCAAGGGGGCTTGAAGACCCCCCCCAGGGGTAGCCCGTCCATGGATGGTGGCTATGGGGAGCTGCTGGGGGTAGAGCAGAGAACGGCCGTGCTCACTACACTGATGGACTGAGCTCTGTTCTGGCTCCTGG